TATCGAGACATGTCGGCAATCATCATTAAATAATGACCGGTTTACATTTACGACTAATAATACTAAGATAGTGCTGCTCTGATATTTTTCGATATACAAACTCTATAAAAAACTTGGATTTCTTAGATTTACGAGAATATTGAATATTTTAAATAAAACTATGGGGTTCGAATTATTCGGGGATTTATTTTGATTTTTGGTACTTGACGTTTTGGATGCAGCAGTCATGGTCCCCGGTCATGGTGTCTGTCATGTTTATACTCGTATTTATATTTCGAGAGCATTGGAGACGGCAGAATTATTTCCGCTTCCGCTTCAGTATCTTAATATGGAACTACTGACTAATCTTTAAATGATTAACTGTTTCTTTTTTTATTCACAAATGTAATATGTTTTTTTTAAATATTTGTGAGGAATGTTTTTATCTTTTTTTCTCCGATATCTAAATTTGAAGAAGGATTTTAGTAATATAATTTTATTTCTTTAACTTTTTCTATTTATTTTTCTTAGTGACAAGGGGGTGCAATTGAAACCCTTGCCTTTTTTCTTTTTATTTCTTTGCATTATGGTCAAGCTAATAATACGTAAATATAAAAAAATAAAAATAAAAGATCTGTTAGGTTTTTTGCCGGGTTTTTTTTCAGCGGGATCTTACTCCAAGTCAATGGTAATTTCCTCACGAACAACACAAATGTGTTAATATTATATTTTAATATATATTATAATAACACATATACTTGTAAAGACTATTTGAATAAAGTGAATTTTAACAAAAATTAGTCTTTTTAATCTAACCTATATACGAATATATTATGATAAGGAAAAAATGTTAACTTAGAATATCTCAACTATTTTAAATAAAACTATCTTTTCGGATTATTTCGCGGATTTATTTTGATTTTTGGTTCCCGACGTTTCGAATGCTTTACAGCAATCATGGTCACGGGAGAGACTGAGGTGTTAGATCTCTCGAAGGTATAGTTTTTACAGACAGCCTACCCACAAATAACAAAATGAAAATTGCACCAATTACCTTACAATATTTTTTTTAACTTTAAACATTTTTATAATTTTAATTAGTTTTATAATTGAATATGGAATATTATTTATTTAATTCGAAACGTCGGGTAGTTTTACTTAAAATGTCAAATATTCGCGTAAATCTAAGAAAGTATTATACCTCAACTATTTATAGGTAGGTACTAAGCGTATACCTAAATATTTATGATACACTCGTATTATACCACCGTTGAATGAAAGAAATCGTGAACTCAGAAGCTGTTAAATTTATATTATAGACTTATATGGTTATTGATGAGAACATTTTTTTACATAGCTTGCGATGTTTTCGATAAGGTCGCAAAAATTATACCCGCAAATTTTCTGTTTAATTTTTTTTTTTATATTTAAATATATTAACTAATATACTTCTAGCTGTATTATTATTTTTTTATTAATAAAATAAATAAAAATATCGTTATAAAATTCAGTCATGTAATACTTCACTCACACCCAGTGGTAGCGTGGCCGAGCGGTCTAAGGCGCTGGTTTAAGGCACCAGTCTCTTCGGAGGCGTGGGTTCGAATCCCACCGCTGCCATTACCTTTTGAAATATACATTTTAGTATAGTTTTATGAAAACTTTCGTACATTTTAATGATTTTTTATAAGTCTCGCGTGTAATTATTTTTGGTATTCTTAATACAATATTTACTTAAACGTAATATATATTACAACAAACTATATTCATCTATACAAGGTAATTGTGTCCCATCACTATTTTCGTATAAACCATAACGCGTTTAATTTTGATGGCTGATATAACGATGATGTCATTAAGACCATTAATATCATAACACCTACACGCTTCTGCATTACATTTTGGACACTAAAAGAAGGGGAAAAATGAGGTCACTAGAACCTAAATGAATCGACGAAACATACTAGCGACTCACTCTCGCTTCGCTCGGGTTCGTCCCTGGCTTGGTTGATTCCCCATACAAACTTTCATCCCCATTTTCTTCTTATCCTTAAGAGATGATTTCTGGCATAATCTAAACTATCCTATATCCTTCCCACGGTTTCAAACTGTCTTCTTACCAAATTATAATCTAAATCGGTTCAGTAGTTACGGAGCTTATTCGGTACAAACAAACAAACAAAAAAAATCCTCTGTATAATATTACATTATCTTCTCTCCTTCCACAGAACCACTTTCTTTTCAAAAAATTTATCACATAATTGATTCTCATTGAATTCAATCATCTATTAATGACGCTTCTATCATAAATAATATCTTTTCTTATTTTAGACATCATAATTCTTTCCATTCCCTAAATTTTGTAGAAAGGAGGCTGTGACAGACAAACTGACAGACAAATAAATATATTATATACACGACAATTTTTACAAAGGTTCTGTTTATTCATGTACCCATTTACTTTCAATTAATAGATTTCTAGATGCGCAAAATATATTCATTTCATATGAAAAAGTTTTAATTAAACTTTTCTTACCGTTCTAAATAAAATTATTTTTTTTATATACTTTTATATTCTTAACATAAATAAAATAGATTTCAAAATGATATTTTCATATCCACTTTCTTTCGTTCAGTTGAATCACATGTGAAAATAAAACATAAATATTACATTATATGTTATGTATATAACTCTGTAGATGAAAGCTAAAGGACCTTAAGTCCATTTTTTTACATTTTTGATTTTTTAATGATTCTAATTCAGAATACCCGTATTGATTAAATGGTAAAAGACATTAAGTCCTACAGCCACTAAATTCACAGAAGTAAAATTATAAATAACATCAAGTCCCTACGCGTGAAAAAGTGAATGATCGTATGGTTACTTAATATTCTTTACTATTCAAACAATAAACCTAGATAAATGTTAAACGTTAGTATGTGGGACTTACTATTCTTTACCATTACGCGCGGGTTACATTTGCGCGGGTGCTATCATACCTACGGTCGCCGCCCTGCGACCCTGCGCACGCACTCTCTCCCGTTAAGCAATAATTTATAATATTATAGTTTTTGTTTCGTGCAAAATTAATCGTACGCGTATTGTGTTGTGGGGACAACAAAGAATAATCTTTTAAAAAATATGAATATTGGACGAGGAAGAAGGCTTGTTGATATAATAAAATTATCAGGTACGTCAATATATTATCATTATTTAATATTTTTTTATTATTTTTAAGAGAATATACAAATGTTAACATAATTATGAGGATATTATATTTCATATTGGACAGATATTCGAATAGTTTCTAATGTGTATGTATTATTTAATGTATTTCACTTTCTTGTAAGTATGTAGTGCTATAGGTGTGTGCAGGACAAAATAAAAACATACATATCATCATATGTTACTTATGGTTATTATGGAAAATACCTAACCTACAATGCATTAACCATTAATATCTTATGAAAAGTCATACTCATATGGAAGTGGATGGTGTACATTCTATTATTGAGAGAAAAAAAAGAGACAACCGCAATTTTCCATAATGACCCCATGGGACTGGCACCAGTTCATACGGTACTGTTCTTAGATAAGGCAACAATTGAAGTTATTGATATGTCAAGTGAAGATTTTAAAAACATATTGAATATCCAAGAAGGTCCTACAGCGCCATTTATTCACCGCAAAAAAGGAGATATGGGTCAGTCAGTGCCTTACTCTGAAATAGTATGGATGAAATTTGAAAAAGAAGATTATGGCACAATGAGTTATAAAACTTCTTTCAATCAGAAGGACTTTGAAAAGGTCTCCTTAATAAGAAATAGAAGGAGACCCTTAGAAGATTTTGCTATGCCTACTTTGCAGCCTATACGACTAGACCACAAACCTAAAAGTACAAAAAAATATCAGGATTTACAGAAAGCTCTCCAATGGGTGCCACCCATTTTCCATAAGTTTTATAATACTTTAGCCCACGATGGCACAGCGTGTGACTTACCAGAAGACTTGCGACTTACTCTCGCTACACTTGCGTTCGTCCCTAGTAACGTTGTTTTTGCGGAACCCTAATTCTTTTACTAAAATAAAAGTAGCCTAGTTACTCCTTATAACAAACACCAGCTATATGCCAGTAAAAGCCCTCCAAAATCGGTCCAGCAGTTTTGGAGATTCACGAGAACAACAGACAGACAGACAGACAAAAATATAAAAAAATGTGTTTTCTAATTGTTAGTACCGTATATACTTTGACATGCATTTAGTAAAAAGCTGATATTTTTGTGTTACAAACAGACCCTTCAATTTATGTATCTGTATAGATTTTAATGTTCAAAGATTTTAGTTTTAATTAAATAAAAAATATTATGTACAATTTTGTTTTATTTCTAAGGTCATTAAAACTTTTTAATACAAATTTTTTCTATAATTTTAAGTTATAAAATAATTAAATATACTATATATTTTTGATACAGGAGTGACGTAACTACCATATACTATAAGATATTTAGTAAAACTCCAAAGTTAAAGAACCTTAAGTCCGATAATACAGCCTTAAGGAACTAAATTTGTTAAAAAAATATCACAATATAATAGCTTAAGTAACCATCATAATCATACTTTTTATTTGACAACGATACGCTATTTACTTTTTATACACGGTCAATTTTATTATCTCATTTCGGGTTTTTCGTCTTTAATGAGCTCTACTGAATACTTTATAAAATGTGACTTAAGGCCCTTTACTTTTCACTTTCAGAACTAATTCAAGAGAAAACATGAGTAAGAGGCACTTTCTATGTAATAATTATCACTTAGTTATCACTTACACGACAATACGAGACGATACCATAACTTAGGCATTTTAACGGGAACCTTTTTTGTGATAACTTGTTAGATTGTATACAAGAAACAACTTCCGCATATATTTTTAAATAACTATACAAAAAGTTAAAAATATCATATAAATAAATTGATTTAAAAAAATAAATTTAGTTTAAAAGCCAAAAAAAATTACACAAAAATGAATAGCGTTCTTGCATTGTTGGTTTTGCTAGTAATAGAAGTTAATGGTCTGGACGCAGAAGAAAAGGACGCGATAGAAGCGAGGGGCAAAGGAAAATATGTTCTGTTGAGTAAGTTTTATTATTATTATTGTTTTTAGTATGAATATATTTATTAAATAGTCCTTACTAAATTCTAAATTGTGTTAGTTTGTAGCTTGATCCTTCTTTTATATAGCAATGTTTTTTTTTACAAATTTTTGATTAAATAAAAAAAAAATTAATTCGTGGTGGAGTGAAACGCGTTCAACTCCCGGGTCTGGCATTTTTGATATTTTCATGTGCGAATCATTTTTAACATGATTACCACTTCTTATGATGAAGGAAAACATTGTAGGGAAACTTGCATTTCTGAAAGGACCTAACCAGTCTTCGAAAGACATGTAAAAGTTTACCAGATCGCACTTATCTACTATGATGATGACTATGCTTTGATCCCCTTAGTATTAAAGGGATTTAAGGGAGGGGATCGTATTGACCAGCATTGATGGCCTGTACCCAGCATTAGGACGTTAAACGGGCTGAATAAATATTACACGATATCGTCGTCAATTATCGTGAATCGATTTTAATAATTGATTTTTTAATATGTTATACATAACCTATCCTAAAGGAATCTTATATAAAAATTATTTTAAACTTTTTTAACTCGTATATAAATTATTTTAATTTTGATATGGATGAAGCTTTTTTGTTAATAGATAAGTTCTTTTTATTTAGAATCGATTCCGTGTTTGAAACACCCACGTGGTTTTTCTAGGGATTGTAGTTTTTTTTTACGGAAGTTGTGATTTGGAATTGTTTAATGGAGTCGTTAGCTCCGCAGTAATATTTTTAATGTCTTTACGCAGAAACAGATCGACGTGCTATTTTCGAAGTAGTTTATGAACAAGAGAATGCCAAAGATTTTAAATCGTAAAATCGAAGAAAGGTAAAATAATAAACCCAGTTTTGTATTTCTAATAAGAAACATGCACTTCGAAACAAGAACAAAAACTTCTAATCAGTAAGTCAGTTGGAAACTCAGCGGGACAAAATTTCTTATCTCTCGTCGTTTTTTCTCCAAGCCACCTATGGAGAGAAACTTAAAAAGCAAAACCTCACCTAAATACAAGATCCAAATCGTTAGAGCCGTTTCCGAGATATACGAAATAAATTTATATACAAGAAAAGCTCATTTAATATTATAAAATTATATATATATATATATATATATAAATAAATAATATTATCGTTGAGAAAGTCCGGAGGCAATCACATCATTTCTAAAATTATAAAAAATCATTTGCAGTATAAAAATCTTTTTTTTCGATACATACATAATATCCAACACATATCGCGGATAAGTTATCATCAAGAAATCCTTTAAAACAAAATAAAGGATCTCAGTATCTTTTGTATTACTTTGATCAAAATACTACATTTTGCATGTGGGACAAATAGAATTATGGAAAGGATTTGTGAATCAAACAAATAATATCTGGGGATTAAATTGAGGTTTCACAAAGATAGATATGCTAGATAAAGATATATATATATATATATATATATATATATATATATATATATATATATTTAATGTATTGTATTGTTGTATATATATAAAAGGACAAACATAAAACAGTATGGTACATTTTCTCCTCTGTTTACAGATTTTGCTTTATTCTTACTGTCTTTTCTTTTTTTTTCTATTTTTTTTAATTCCTATTCGTTGGTCTGTATGATTTCATGCATGAATGAATGAATCGTCTTGGCTAAGCCATTTGGTTTAACTTCTTATTTATCTACTCACTCCCACGAAATGCAAAGGTTAAGTTAGATCGTTTTGATAATTAATGAATCTGTCACATGTTGTATGTATTTCAATAGGAAAGCTATTAATATCAGGATTTTGTTTTAGAAGTAGACACTAGACATCGAACCCGTTACCTCGGCTGCAGGAATAGATTTAATTATATTGTTTTGAACATTAAATTAAAATAACATATAAGCAAAATTATATCTATGCATATAATAAAATTGTATCTAAGCCGAATCTGTACATTAAATATTTTTTTGAAAATCTTATTGAAATAAACATTATTATCGATACAGAAGCCAAATCTATACTTTTTAGAATTTTTGTCTGTCTGTTTGTTACCGCGTCACAGAAAAACCACTGGAGGGATTTTGATGAAATTTGGTATGGTGATAGCTTGTTATCCGAGTAGACATATCGGATACTTTTTACCGCAGGAAAATGTCTCATTTCTAAGAAAAAAATACAAAAACTGTAATGTAAGAGTATACTAATATGTAAAACTTAAGAATTTGGTTTTTGGTCATTTGAACGCGGGCGGAGCCGCGGGCAATAGTGTACATATAAAATAACAAATAAACCAGGAAAATCTGTATTAGCTTTTGAACAAGAATCGAAGTTATTTGCATACAAAATCTTCGAATTTTTGATTCTGCTATCATTTGCCTTTGAATCATTCTTCGCAAATCATAAACGAATGGTACGGAACTATTACGAATACAAAGGCCGGGAAAAATGGAAACTCTTTGAAGGTGTACCTTGAAAAGTAAAGTTTTGGCTTTTGTTGAATTACATATATCGTATGCTCATCCGTATGTACGATCGACTGTTTAGCCGAATTCCAAAGAATAGATATTCTATTTTGAATCGTTTACTTTTAAAGAAAAGCTATCGTTTGAAGTTTTTATTCGTATATTAATTGTTAATAATTTCATTCATTAGTTGTTAATAATTTCTATAAAAAATCTATACATATTACATATAATTTGTGAGATAAATCTGTACATTAAATATTTTTTGGAAGATCTTATTGAAATAGTCATTTTTATCGATATAGAGACCGAATTTATAGTTTTTAGATTTTTTGTGTTTGTCTATCTGTCTATCTGGGAAGGCAACACGAGAAAACAAAACAAAGGCTGAATCTATAGTTTTTAGAATTTTGTCTTTCTGTCTTTCTATCTTTCTGTCTGTCTGTCTGTTTGTCTGGGTACGCATTACGAGGAAACCACTGGACAGATTTTGATGAAATTTTAGTATGATGATAGCTGGGCATTCGGGTCAACATATAAGATACTTATTATTGCGGGAAAATATCTCATCTCTAAGAAATCTATACTAACCGTAAAAACGTATCTAGGGACGAACCGAGGGTGAGTGGCTAGTAATATAAACTATAGTTCAACTTCAAATATTTTCATATTATAGTTTTCCCATTTCGATAGCGTATCGGGTAAAGCATTGTTGAACTAAAAGTAATGGACCTTAATTTTTCCTGAACACGCTCTCACGCTTTTTAATAGTAAAATTAATTCCTTTGTAATTTAAACTTGGCTCGTTATGAATACGAAATATAATGAAATATATTAAAGTATTTAATTAAGTTTCATTTAAAAATTAACTATTTCCATTTAATATTTCATTTTTTCTTGAAAAGTGATATTGTGAGGTCTACTCCGTGAGTACTCTGTGAGGTACTAGTCCTACTAATATTATAAATGCGAAAGTTTGTGAGGATGTATGGATGTTTGTTACTCTTTCACGCAAAAACTACAGAATGAATTTTAATAAAACTTTACAATAATATAGCTCATACATCAGAATAAGATATAGGCTACTTTTTATCCCGGAAAAATTTACGTTGCCCGTGGGATAGATTTCTTTTTATTTTTCTAGTAGTTTTTGTATGCCAAATGGACGTTTACTTGTGAGGTTTTGAGCGAACTAAGTTTAAAATGTGATTTTGCGTTATATTATAACGAGCAAGTTATTGTAATTAATAGTATCTAAGTTCAAATTTAAGTGGCACGAGTTAGTTTGAAAGTTCATGCAGCTAAAGCTTTCCAAAGTTCTTCCCAAAATCTAGATTAGCGCTAAATTGAGATAATAATATTTTACCAACTATAGCATATGTATATATATTTTTTATTTAATCACAAAGCACTAAATATATAAACAATATATAACAGACAAACAAACACTAGTTCAAAATTCCAGGTAGTCTTAGCTTATATTCTTATTCATACCGTTTTAATGTTATTACATATTCTTTGCTTTTTCTTCATATTGTATGTTTTTTTTCTCAAGTGGACAGTACACTATGGACATATATTTAGATCAAACTTGCGTCTTCCTTCAAACAATCTGATTTTGTATTTCTCTTGAATTGTACGAAACTAGATTTAATCTTTGATAATAGATCTAAAAATCGAATATCAAAAATAAACCGATTATATTTGTTAATTGCAGCCCATCTCGCAATAGTTGCAGCTGCGAAGATCGGGCTTATGAACATATTCCTTGGGATTGCTTTCGCCATTTCTGCCATAAAAGCTATGGTAGTCATGGCGTGGGCCTTAGCTATATCTAAGTATGCACCTGAAATATTTCCAAAGCACCATGTGGGCCATAATATACACTCTCCATCGAATCACTTCATGGATGCCTTGATCAGTACTTTCAATCGTAACTGAATTTGGTATGTAATTTTCATAATGAATAGTTCCTTACTATTAAAACCTTATTTATATATGTAATTATTCGATAATATCCAGTATTTACGATACTTATATGTAGTTTGTTAATGGTTCTAGAAATTATAAAAGAACATTTGATGAGGCTATAGCAAAAAAAATTAATCGTAATACAACTTCAAACTTCAAATTCGAAATACAAAATCAAAGAAAACCTTTTCTAATGCTTTATGTTATCAAAACTGTTTTTAATTCAATCAAAAATCATTTTTATGTATATATATATATACATAAAAATGATGATGATGATATATATATATATATATATATATTGCAATAGGTGCTATTGCAATATATAGCTGACTTTATAAGTACTTCGAGCTTCAGCAATTCTTTCTTTATTTAACTACTTCTACAGAATGTCCTACAAAATGACTATCACCATTTACCACTATTCAAACACCGCTGTGTGTAATGTGGCGCCATCTATCTTCTATAGATTACACATTAATCCACGGTGGGTGGGTACTTTTAAAATATTAATATTGAAAATATAACAAACTCATATCTGTATTAATATTATAAAATATAAAATTACAACTAATAAAATATGAAGAATCAATATGATCCATAAATAATGAATAATAATCAATTAAGATACTATAATTAACAAGGATCAAATGAGCAACTATAACCACACTATATATTTAAATAGGCAAAGACAAAACAGTTCAAAATCTTTTTCTGATCTGTTTGACAACCGATTTTCTTTTTTTTTCGTTTAGTAGCTATTGAGGAGCTTAAAATAAAAGTGTTTAAGTAAAACTATCTTTTCGTATTTTTTCGCCAATTTCTTTGATTTTTAGTTCCCGACGATTCGATCATTCGATCATTTGGCTTTACAGCAATCATGGTCGCGGGAGAGTCTAAGGTTTTAAACGTCTCAAAGGCATTATAATATTTGTTACAGACATCCAAAAATCAAAATAAACCAGCGAAAAAAGCTGTTATGAATCAACGCATTATCGAAACAGTTATTTTTACACATTTAGTAAGATTAAATAATGATTTTGGTGGAATTTAGACCACTGGGCGAATGTTCCGTATTTATCAACAATTTTGAATTATAAACTACGCCATTGTTATTAACCGTAATGTGTAGTTTAAATAGCGTGATTATTGTAACTACTTTTATTTGGTGTTGCCCAATTTAATTAATTATTGTATTTAAATTATACGTAAGGTGATATATGTGTTTTATGATAATCGAAATGATTAATTTTTGGGTAACTAACGGTTGTTTTGCTTCACGTTACTTTTGTGAATGATGCGAAAGTAATACCAGTCTTTACTAATATGAATGTATTTATTATATTTTGTAGACCTACGAGTATGTAAGCAGAAGAGAATTTCAACATCGAAAAGTTCATGTGATAGGTTGATTTTTTTGATACATTTTTTTCGCATTCTGCTATGTGATACCTAACGATTCGAATATATAAATGAACTGTACAGGCAAAGAACAGGGAATGCTCAAACGAATAAATTACTAGAAAAAAGCAAGTTAAAGTTTAGAAGTATAACATTTTGATTGAGATCGAAGCATGCAGTAACTTTTCACTATGTAGATTTAATAATAATAATAATAATCTACAAAAAGCCGTTATATTAAACACATGCAGAATTGTTCGTAATTTTCTACAAACGGATAATGATATAGGCAGTATTATCCCCACATCGTTTGACATTATACAAAATCATATCCAAGCGCCACGTCCGCCACAACACATACCTCAACGACACAGTATTACTTTAGATACTTAATTACCATACAACAAAAACTATCCCACTAACACTTGGCTAAGGCCCGTGTTAGCTGAGAATACCGGCAAAGCCGAGGTTTTTAAACGAACATGAAATAATAATAATAATAATACCTTTATTGACGTAAATACAAAAGGGTTACAAGATATTTATTTTTAAACTATATAATTAGCACAATGTCTGAACTAGGCCGAGCCTGTATCTCAGACGCTAGCCATTTTTGGACAATACTCCTTTTTTACCGATATGTCATGGACATGTCCAGTTCTTTTCGCTTTGGGCATAGATAAAAACATATTTTAGCGACATCCTTTAAGTATTTGTAAAAACTAGTGGTTGGAAATTCAAGTACCATAAACATAGATTCGTTACCAGTACAACACGAAAAAATTAATAAAAATAAAAAAAAATCCCTGCTCTTTGCCTGTACCCTTTAAATGATGCTTGCTTATAATAACTAGATTAATAAGTCCAAATGTTATTCATTCAACAGAAAAAAGTTACTGTTCAGTATAGATATACATATAACACCGATTTTCATTATATTTTAAAATTTGCTGGCTACTACCAGTTGAGAACCAAAATGCATTTGTTATCGGTGAATCTAGCTTTTTTGGTTTAGTATCTTTGGTCTCAGTATCTATCATATTAAAAAATAATTCTTGTCCACAGGTCATTTCTTCTACGTGGCAGCTACAAAACTATTTATATTAAAAATAGTGTACGGCTTCATCTTCTTTGCCATAATTAAAAAAGCATGGTATTTGGTGCTCTGGCTGATCCAGTATTTGAAGGAGAAACAGCATGACTATATAGAAATTGATCATCATCCGTACCATGACTATGGGAGTTACGGAAGCTACGGAAGTTATAGCCATGAAGCTTATAGTGCCTATGAAAAACCAAGTTTTGGTTATAAACCTATATATGATGCTGATGGATCTTATTCAGTTGGTAGAACATAAAATAATACTTTCTCAGATTTACGCGAATACTTGACATTTTAAATAAAACTATCTTTTCGGTTTTTTTCGCGAATTTATTTTGATTTTTAGTTCCCGACGTTTCGAATGCTTTACAGCAATTATGGTCACGGGAGAGACTGAGGTGTTAGATGTCTCAAAGGTATGATATAGTTGTTACAGACAGCCTACCCACAAATAACAAAATGAATTCAAAAAATTGAAAAATGGCACCAAATTACCTTACAATATTTTTTAACTTTTAACTTTAAACATTGTTATATGATTTTTTTTATTAAATTTTTTATTATTGAAAAGATAGTTTTATTTAAAAAGAACATAAAATGTTAAAGACTTTTAGACACACTAATAATAGTACTTATAAGTCATTACTAATTTATCTAAAATACTATACCAAATAAAACTGTACCTAGTCAAAGAATTGAACTTTGATATATTTGAAATAGTTTGTAATATTTATTTGTAAATTAATTAATAGATTAATATGAAAAATAAAATTATTAACTATATAAAAACCAGTTTTATTTGCCATTTTTTTTTGCAAAATATATGCACCAATAATTATAAATAAAACAAATTTTGGAAGAATAATAAATACAGTCTACGATATTATATTTCTTTTTAACCTCTAAAAACTTTTCATTTTATTTTCTCTTGAGATCTAATATTTTTAAATAATAATCGCAGAATAAAATAGTAATGTCGGTTGGCCCGATAGAGTTGTTATTTTTCAATAACTTGTTTATGAATTGAGCTTATACAATCCCATTAAATTATTAATATTATAAATGCGAAAGTTTGGATGGATGTTTGTTACTCAATCACACCAGAACGTCTAAAAGGATATAGATATTTGATATTTTTGTTTTTTTTTATTATTGTCAATTTGGAACAGAGTAGGTACTGTAACCCGCAACAGTGTACTGTTTCCGTGGGATTTTTCTTTCTACTAGGAACGAACCCGAGTGAAGCAAGGGTGAAGCGCTAGTTATTCTATATAGCTTCCCCCAATTTTTTTATTTCCGAGTATTATTTTTTTCAAAAATCATCTCAAAAAACCATATTTAATCTATTATGAATATATAAAAATGGCCTAATCGATCCCAGTCCTTGTCCAGTGATTCACTTACCAACGAACAGAAATTCATTTTTTATATAGGTAATCTACTAAAAGTATATACAATGCATAAAACGTTGTTGAAGTTTTCAATTAATAAGACTCGTATCGTAGGTTTTATAAAACACACTGTAGCTGCTATTTTCAAAATAAACACGTGAAAGCTTTACCAATATTAAATGAAACGCGCTATTTATGTACCAATAAAACTGGACTTTTTATTGAGTAGTTGCTGAAACTCCTAACGCGAGTCCAATAAGTTTGGCAAGCGCATATACATACATACATATATATATATATATATATATATATATATATATATATATATATTATATGTACGTATAGATAAAAAATCAATCATCCCCCATTTTCTACACAAAAGGGTTGATTTCTTTTTTTAATTTTAAATGGCGGGACCATTTAGAAATAAACCATTTTCGAACAAAAAAAGAATTTTGCAATGACAGAGTTATGCCCGAACAAACATAAAAATATTATCATCCGAATTGAGAACCTACTCATTTTTTGAAGTAGGTTAAAAAATACACATAACAAAGTTATATATAGTTATATGTAAATAAGAAGGCATATTAATAATATATAAGATTTAATGTACTTGAAAATATTATCCCTTTCCTGGGACATTCTGATAAATATAGCTAGCTATAATTTTAAATTAGAAAATTTACTTCAGTCTGTTAACATAATAATTTTGTTTGTGAATCTTTACCCAAATCGTTCATGGTTAAATCGTAAGAAATTATTTACTTTATATATAACTTAGAATATACCATTTTCTGTAAGCACTTCCGTTCACTGGTCCAGAAATAATATGGGAGCATCTTAATATCGCTGAGACGTTTACTTTATAGATAGAAAATAATATTTCTGACTAGTTTTTACCTATGGTTTCGTTGGTCATATCTCCATTTGTGTGATGAGCACGAATGTTTGTACTGCAGTCATGGGTGTTTATATTTATAATATGTATGTATTTAAAGTTATATATGTGTAGTGTATCAACTATCTGGTATCCATAACACAAGCCTCGTAGCTTACCATGGAACTGGATGGTGCTGTGTGTTAATGTTCCAATATATTTATATGGATGATGTTATATTTACAATATTATCACAGTCTACTAATCCATAACTTAGTAGGAATTAATTGTAGCATGTATACAAAATGGAATAGTTTACTTAAATATACATTTGTAGCACTTAGAATAAAGTGACACGAATCGAAATTATAGGTCCCTGGGCGTTTAGAGTCGATCCGTCTTCCAAATGAATTACTGTATCGTCTTACAATGCCCCATGAGACTTTATCAGTGTTAAATATGTGTATTTTGGTTGTCTGGCTGAACATTTATAATATAAGGATCACTTGCACCGAAATATAAGAAAGAATAATTATATATAAAATATATGTGATAAATATAAAATTTTGGCTCATTTTGTAGTGATGCTGTGCCAGCGGCCGCGGGCTCGAGCAGCATCTCTTAGGAGCATTTATTTGCGTGATGAGCACGAATGTTTGTACTCTAGTCATGGGTGTTTATATTTATAATATGTATGTATTTAAAGTTTATATATGTGTAGTGTATCAACTATCTGGTATCCATAACACAAGCCTCGTAGCTTACCATGGAACTAGATGTAGCAACATCTGTGTTAATATCCCAACATATATTTATGTATTTATTAATTACTTTTATTTGAAAATACAAACAAAACTTAATTATTAGGCTAATATTATAGACCAAATTCTGTAACAGATCAAGCGACCATGTTTGTTAGTCCCATTAGTTTGGCTTGACTCCTAAAAAGTAAAACACACAAAATAGAATAAAATCGAATTGAAAAATAATTGTACCATTCATATCGAATTAACCTAATTAAGTACACAATAAGGATCTGTTATAGAATCTCAAGAAACATGATGTTTGCTCGAAATAGCATACTAAAAGTAAATAGTAATTTCCTCAAACGAGCTGCTATAATACTCAACGTTAGCATGAAAACTAATTTTATAAGGAGATCGTGATTAAAGTGATGTTAGATAAACCGGAAATTCTTACTTGTATTTATATAGCTCTTTCCATTAAACTTATACTGTTTTAATAAGTTTGATACGTGGTTTGATATCGCGAATCACATTGGTCATACAACAATGTCGTATTTCTTCAAGATATATATCTAAATAAAAAAAATATATATTTAATATTATCTTTCTTAGTTTACATTTTTATTTATTATGTAAATCGCTATAGCGTAAAGGTTTTTAATTCATTAAATTAATTACTCTTGATTACATAAGTACTAAGGACAAAGACTTATTTTTGAAATAAACACATTTTAACTAAAACTTTACTAATATTATAAACTTAAAGTTTGTTTGTTTAAACATATTAATCTCTTCTTCTCAGAAATTTCTAACCCAGGACCTCCGGAAATGCCATACATGAAAGCCAACAATGCCATATGCCATACATGAAAGAAAACTTTTGTTCTTTCTGAGGCATGGGAGCGACCGCTGACTTCCCAACTCCTGCTATAACTGTGAATTTCTAAACAGTAAAACTTAATTACTATACTTGGCCCTGCCCGGGATTCAAACACAGGACTTCCAGAAATGCTGTACCGAGGCAGTTAGCAAGTATATACAAATATAGACACAAGATTTCGGTAAAAAAAGAGTAAAATAGTAATCTCAATGTGAACTTTCTAACGAAATAAAAATATTTGAAATAGAAGACGACACTCTTTTCCAACTTCAGATGGCTAATGAAATAAATTTAGGATAATTACTTCTATGATAAAACTTCTTAACAATCTAGGCGAAAGTTTAGCTTAGCTAAAGCGTAACTGAATTTATTTAACATCAACTTAACTGTAGTTTTAGATAGTCCAAGAATGTACAGGACCAAGTGAGGTATTATATTATAATTGGTATTAATTATATTCTCTATATTTATTCCGCCTATGGAATATGTGAAAATGAGAATTATAAAAGAAAGTAGGAGTAAAAGAAGAACAGAGAGAGAAGGAGGAAAAGAGGAACAAGGAGAGAGAGTAGGCAAAAGCAGCATTCGTTATTCAATACGTACTCGTAGATGCGTTCTAGATAAAGGTGTTTAATACCGTTATGTATGTGCAATTTAAAATTCAAATTCATTACAAACACATCAATGAAATACATACGATACATTGGCGAAGTAATCTATGCAGAACTGGCACGCTTTGAAGCCATTAACAAGAAAAATTATTTCTAGTGTTTCAGTCAGATAAAAAACACTTAAAATAATTAATTAAAATATCTAAAAATAACTTCAACCGAAGTCGGTTCGAAGAAGGTTCGTCCCTAGGTTGAATCCCCATGCAAGCTTTCATCCCTATTTTCACCCCCTTAAGATTTCCGGGATAAAAAGTATCCTATGTCCTTCCCAGTATCTCAAAATATCTTCTTATCAAATTTCACCTAAATCGGTTCAGTAGATCCAAAGATTACCCCATACAACATTACAAACTCACAATTCACAAACTTTACCTCTTTATAATATTAGTATAGATGATATAATAATTTATATATTTTTTCAAATGAAGAAAAATTACATATTCTTTCACTCAGGCGCAGTAAGTGCGAGTTGCTAAGTCTCTTAGTAAAGTTACTTAAAGTGATGTAACGAAATAGTGTTATTATCTTACCGGTTCTGGAAACAAGATCTAACGGAAATACAAGTATATAACGTAACAACTCAATATATTCTTATTTCCAGCCCATAGAATACTGAGACGTGATGAAAATATAAATCATCTTTTTCCTTTGATGTAAACAAATCGAAATACTCGGTTATTTTGACAGACTTCAAAAAAGAGAAAGTGTGGACGATGTCTTTGACAACTGTTGGCCGATTTAACTTAAAAAGTTATTAGATTTACGAGAATATCTGACATTTGAAATAAAAATATCTTTTCGGATTTCGGATCCAACCTCTTAGTCTCTCCCGTGACCATGATTGCTGTAAAGCATTCAAAACATCGGGAACCAAACATCAAAATAAATCCGCGAAAAAATCCGAAAAGATAGTTTTATTTATAATGTAAACTTATCAGTTTTTTTAGAAAAAATGTTGAGAAAAGTATTAAAAGGCTTTTAATCCCCATAATATACGGAATGTTTCTTAGAGCAAGTAAGGTTTACGTAAGGCTTAGACATAATGACACTCATCATTTACGATTAGAAATCTATAAGAATATACTCTTACAGAGAAATGACATAAAACGATTGTTTGACTAAAAAATTAAATTATCATTTTACAAATATCGTAAAAAAATCTATTTGTGATTGAAAAATGATATGTTGTCTAAGTCTGCTGACATAACGTATTTGATTTTTTTTACACCTTAGTAGCTTTTAAGTTTAGCCGCTCAAAGCTGCTTATTTGTGTAAATTTCATCCGAATCAGTCCAGCCGTTTTTGCGTGAAGGAGCAACAAACACAGAAACTTGGCATTTATAATAGCAGTATTTTTACTTTTCAGATCCAAATATCCACTTTTTGTAACTATTTAATACTATGAAATTCAAAACTTTCTAAATGTTTCTTTACAAATAAAATTAACAATCAAGTTGGACAGCAAATGTATCAAGAAAAGCTTTTATTTTTGAATTCCTTTTGTAGTACTTTCTAAAAGAGTAAGTGCGATCTGGCAGCAAATTGGAAATGTAGGTCGCCAAAATTATTTTAGTCAACTAAGAAATGTAAAAAGCTTTTATCTATTGCACACAATAACATAGAAAATAAACATTTATACAGTCAGTTTGTTTTAAAAAAATATACTTTAGATAAAATATTCGCTTTCGTATTTTTACTTAAGAATAATTAATGAATATTATTAAATTTTATACAATAATTTAAAGAATCTTGGCGACCGAACTGCGCTCGCTGTTTTTTCAGAAAAGATCTATATAGATAAACTTAATAAGCAATACCTTATCTAAATGCAAAATTTGATCCAAATCGTTGGAGCCGTTTCCGAGATACACGAAATTTTACATATATGTATATACAAGAATTGCTCATTTCATATAAGATAATATATTTTGGAGTAATATATATATATATATATATATATATATATATATATATATATATATATATATATATATATATAAGACGGAGGAGGATTTAGTTACATTTTTCTGTTATGAAACCTTATTATTGTTTAAAGTCACTATGTTCTTTAATTTACTTTTTATTGCTTTTAAAGTTATTTTGAATTTAGAGCAGAGATTTAGTCTCGAGCGGGGTCGAGACACCATCACGACATTCTTTGCAGATACGTGGTGTAGTAAAGTCGGTTGATCATACAGATATGTTTGATATTGTAGTTGGAAGTCGATGATCGGTGACTGTGAACCCGCTAGCTCTAAATCATTAGAATTACCGTTTCAAGTTTATAACATTGTGACTTCCCTGATTAAATTGTGTATGGAGCACTGAATACTTTATTATTTGAGCCCTGATAACGCCCACAAGATGAGTAACCACCAAAGATGATGTTCGTAGTATATGGATAACACGACATACACACATTGTAACACACACACACATTGTGACACATTGTAAAATAAGCGGAAGTAAGGGTAACTTAGATTAGGTTAGAGTGATTTCTAGTTAAATCGTTAACTGTGTTTCATTATTATTACTGGAAAGTTATTTTTAAATTATTTTGAAACACGTTCAGAATGTCATAAACACTTGTTTGTAGCATAAATGGTATTAGATACTATGAAAAGTTCAAAACTTAAATAGCTTATTTCATAAAAACAGTAAATTATATTAAAGTTTTAACGATAAGTGCTCACATGAGCCTGGTGTTATGTGGCATATTACCTATACTATATGTAATTTCTATAACCAGACTGTACGTTTTAGTCTTTTTCTAAAGAAGTGTTAGTTACTTCTTATAATATCAGCTACCTGCCAGTGAAATTCCCACCAAAACCAGCTTTTTCGCATATTAGCTGGAACAGAAGTACAGAGAGACAAAAAATTTCAAAATTTATTTTTCTTATAAGTATCGTATATAATTTCATATGCATTTAGTAAAAAGCTGTTATTTTGACATTACAAACAGACACTTCAATTTTATTTATTTGAATATATATGCATGTACGGAGTATAAGCAGTTAATGATAGTTGAGAAATTGAGACAGCCATCGCAAGGAAAATTATGTAGAAACCTTTCTCTATAGAAAGTTATCTTTTCTATTTGTATTTTATAGTATATTAACTATGTCCTATGGCTTTCCCTTCATATTAAGATTTACTAATGTTCGCCTAGTGGTCGTAATTTGACTATATTCATTAATTAAAATTTGAGGAAAACATATAAATGGAATTTACCTATCTATACTAATATTATACAGAAGTAAAGTTTGTGCCGTTGTAGGGGTGATCTCTGGATCTACGGAACCGATTTAGATGAATTTTGGTAAGAAAATAGTTTGAGATCCTGGGAAGGACATAGGACACTTTTCTCCCGGAAATCACCCCTAAAGGGGTGAAAATATTGGTTGCGAGTTTGTATGGGAAATCAACCTAGGGACGAGCGAAGCGAGGTTGAGTCGCTAGTATCTATATAAAAGAGCTGTCTCCATTTTTTTATTTTGATATCATTAATGCTTGTAAATACCTACCAAAGAAATAAAATAAAAACTGTTGACAAACAGAGGACAGAAAAGTACTGAACCGTTGTCTTTGCCTATTTAGTATATGTATGTAGGATAGTCTTAATAAGTAAATATATTTGGGACATGAGTATGCAAATACGAAGAGCTCTGAATCTTTTTATCTATTAAATCGGTTGAAAATAAGCTCAGATAGCTTTTTGAAACATATTATTTACTATACAATATTTTTATTGTTACACTACCTTGAAATTTGTTTGCATTCTTGAACTTTTGTGAGTTTAGAAAATATATGAATTATTATGTATTTAATTCATGTATTTCAATATTATGTATTTAATTCATATATTTCAATTGTAATAACTATATATACTAAGTCCCTACGTTCTAACGCTTAGTATAGATTTCTCGGAGGTGAGATATTTTCTGGTAGTAAAAAGTATCTTATATGTTTACCCGGATTAGCAGCTACCATCATACCAAATTTCATCAAAATGTGGCCAGTTTTCTCGTGATGCTTTCCCAGAGAGACAGACGGACAGACAAAAATTCTAAAAACTATAGGTATGGCCTCCGTGTCGATAAAAATGACTATTTCAATACGATTTTACAAAAAATATTTAATGGACAGATTCGACTCAGTTAGAATTTTATTATATGTACATATAATGAACATAATCGTATATATGAAAAATGATTCTCTAATGTGTTTACAGTATACTCTGGACTATTTTAAAAATGTTCCGTATTGACCATATTATTACAAAGTATATTTTGCGAAGAAATTCTAAAAATGATGTAAGTTTCTTAACAACACAAAGGGCCATAATTCATATAAAGTGCTTTTACCTGCGAAGTTGAAGTCACCGTAAACAAGTACTTTGCTTCTAGTAATATAGAGAAATGAAAGAAATTTTTAATAAATAACATCTTTATTATAAAACAAACAACGATAAACACATTCACTATAAAGCTTATTCAGTCTTTTTCCTAACAGTCTATTGTAATCACTCCTCCGTTTCGATTAAAGCGTAATCTAGACCATTTCCATAAAACCCTTTCGTAACTTCGTTGTCTTTCGCAGTTTTCGTCGTCGTTTTCAATTCTTTCTTTCTGATTTTGCCGACATGCGTAGTGGCCTCTGTTTCGATCTGTTCAATCGGAGAGGCGGAAGAAGATAAAATCGGAGAGGCGGAAGAAGATAAAAGCATAGACTCTTTTATTTCTTCTTTTTCTGATGATGCTTCAGGTTTTTCCTCTGGTAGTATTACCTCAATAGGCACCTCCCGTTCTGGCAGCGGTGGCGGCAATTCATGTTTTGGTGCAGAGATTGACAGAACGCCCTTCTCATTTATTACTGCTTTGACTTCTTCCTGCTTAGTTCCTGGTGGTAAAACAAAACGCTGTACAAAATGATTTGCCATAAACTTGTTATCATTGTCTGCTACTCTATGCTTTCCTTCAACAATGATATATCGGTTTTTAACTTTAATCTTCAATTCATCTGGCTTAAACCGTCTGACAATTAAATTAACTTGGTATTTCTCTGAATCCGATATTATTTGAGGGTCTTCCAAACTTTCTTCCAAGTCCAGAGCTGCTGCTGCTTTGAGGAGTTGTCCCCACGGCCATAAATAATGATAAGCCAAGGAATGTGATAAATGTTTATCGATCATCGCGAAGGGATCCACATAATGGGTTTTATGCGGTCGCTCTTCGCATGTGGCAAGGTTTAAGAGAGCAAGAATTATCGCGTATTTGTACATTGTGTCGAGTGAGTTTGTTCTATTGGCGGCTTCGCAGTGTTACCGCTCTTATATAGCTTCAGCGATCGTTCTCGAACGCGAGGCTGGTTTCATTGATGATAAGTGCGGGCAGGCGTCGCCGACCGGTGGAAAGTGAAACTGTTGAGTCATAACTGACTCATGTTAGCAAGTGGGTTACATTCGTGCGTTGAACTCGATATATATTGGTTTGTTATGATTTTTTATGTTGTAGAATTTCGTATAAATTAACTGAATAGGTAAACGGTTTCGTTGTTGTTAAATGTTATATTCAAAAATATGTAAGTATAAATGTTTTTGTTTAAGTAAAGCATAAAGCATTGCATATTATACATTATTTACAAAATCGATTATTATTTAATATATTTTATTTAATTACACATCGATAATTATTTACCCATATTATTCAATTAAAATAACTGTTATTTAAAATGTAATAATATTTTTTAATAAATTCATTAAATATGGTAAAAACACGTACCACAGTTTGGTAACTCATGCGCCGGGATTAAGTCCATAGCGACGTTTGCAGCACACATGCGAGCAGCGCTGTTCAATGTGTGCGTGTACCGTTAGCAAAATCATTCTAGTAATTGTAGGTCATTTGCACATATTTACCTTTATTTTGAATTGCGCTTATATACAAATTTCGTGATAAACTGTAAATTTTGCGTTTTTTTTGTCTTTCACTGGCAATTTACTTATACTACTTATCGCCCAGCAGTCAAAATTTAACCATAATCATTATTGATCCTTTTTAAGAAAATCTGTTGATAAACAGGGGAAAAAAGGATTTTTCATTTGTTACGTTGCCTTCTTTCTTTAATATTTCTTCTTTATTCGTTTACTTTTTTTTATAATTACACTAGCGGCACAAACACGAAAACGTTCATTTTTACGGAATAAAAAAGTAACCTGTTGTTTGACCAACAATATAAGTTATAATGCCAAATTTGACTAAATAAGGTGAATAAGTTGTTGTGTACTAAGCTGTATAAGTTACTATAGGTTTTTTAACTATCCCACGGGAACTCATTAATTTTCCGGATGAAAAGTATCTAAAATGTTGACCGAGAATATAAGGTACCACCATGCAAAATGTCATTTAAATCGGTCCAACAGTTTCGGAAATTAGCCCTTACAAGTAGACAAACAGACAGAGAAACAAAAAAAAGAAAAAAATCTGGATTTGTTCTATTTCTATTCTTACATCCGCCTGGTTCAGTTTTTAGCATTTTTTTTATGGACAGACATTTGACCTTTACAGTTTTTTTTATATGTAAATATTTATCCTATTAAACATAGAAATAACATTAGAGCTTAAACGTTGACCTCATTTAAATATGTTATATTTTAAGCGATAACTAAACTAGCGACTCACCCTCGATTCGCTCGGGTTCGTCCCGTTAGTTGTTACGTTAGTTGTTACGTTTAGAATAGATTTCTCAGATATAAGATATTTTCCCACAGTAAAAAGTATCCTATATGTTGACCTGGATAACCAGCTATCATCATACTAAATTTCATCAAAATCTGTCCAGTGGTTTTCTCGTTATACGTTACCAGACAGGCAGACAGACAGACAAACATTCTAAAAACTATAGACTCGGCCTCTGTATTGATAAAAATGACTTTTTCATTAAGATTTAAAAAAAAAAAAAAAATTCGACTCAGAATTTTATTATATTATGTACGTATATGCTTATTTCCTCTATTACATCTTGCAATCTTACTTGCTCTAAATCAAAATGCAAATTAGCATATAAAACTTCAATTTTGTTATTTTAAGTCTATAGTTTTTTGTGTAAGTGCTTCGGTATAGTTCTGGTATATAAATCTCAAAGTACCGGAATAATTTGAGTGCTTTTATTCATATTACCAAAAGCTTTTAACTTTATCTACTATAAGTTAGTTAAAAAGTTTCAATATATAATTTATTTCCTAAGCACAAGTATGTACACTCATAAGGTATATTATGAGAAGCTTCGTAGAGAAAATGATTATAGCGATATCCTATTGGGTCTCTCTATTTTAATATCCCATCAAAATTCAGCTTTTGGTGAAACACGTGCTAAATTATCTATTTTATAGATTTATTAAACTTTTTTATATACTAGCGACTCATCCTACGTCTTAACGGTTAGTATAGAATAGATAACAAAAAAATAAAAACCGACTTCAAACAAAAGCACTAAATAGTAAAAAATAACTGATTGGTAGTTTTCATTTACTATACATACCTAATCAAATATTTTCAAAGTCGGTGTGCTTTGGCTAAGGAATTAAAGCCTACCTATTAAATACATACCTAATCAAATATTTTCGAAATCGGTGCCAGCCCATACAAAGCAAAGCACACCGACTTCGAAAATATTTGATTAGGTATGTATAGTAAATGAAAACTACCAATCAGTTATTTTTTACTTTTTAGTGCTTTTGTTTGAAATCGGTTTTTATTTTTTTGTTAAAAAGTTTTTATTTTTCCCTTTTTAGTGTAGACAGTAGTAGCAAAGTACGAATTTTAACGTGTTAGGCTTGTCAAATCAAACAAAATAAGCCCAAACTCAAAGTATCTACTATTAGCCGTTGAAGAGTTCCACCTATCCACCTTTTGGCCTTATCATCAGATCAGGTCAACAATACCGAACCACTGTACTATCAACGGAAATAGAAACACTTGCAAAGTTTCAAGTCAATATGACAATTAGAAGTAGGTTAAATTCATCATTAGCTATTTTTTGAAATTTTTTGAATTTTTTGAAATTTAAATGGGACCAATCTGGAAGTATACACTTTCAAACAACATAAAAATTGTCCAAATCGGTTAATAAATGACGGAGTTCTGAGGTAACAAACATAAAAAAAATATACAGTCGGATTGAGAACCTCCTCCTTTTTGAAGTCGGTTGAAAAACTGTGAAGAACAATAACAGATCTATCCCACGGGAACAGTACATTTTTCGGGATAAAAAGTAACCTATGTGCTATTCCAGATTATAATATATCTCTGTGCCAAATTTCATCCAGACCCGTTGAGCCGTTCTGGCGTAATTGAGTAACAAACATCCATCTATCCAAACTTTCGCATGTAATAGGATTATAATATATGAATGGATATTTATAAATATGTGCATCTGTCCTTATTTTGATAATGAGTAAAGAAAGAAAGCAACATAACAAATGGAAAGTGTTGGCTTAAGTATGTAAGTAAAAGGTCCATTATAATTGTCTTGTATGTCAGTGTGTCAGCCAATTGTAAGAATTTAAGTGAAAACAGTAATATTATTTACATTCAATAATAATAAAATATATAACTGGTTTACTACATACATTTACTATCGAAATGATTTTTTTTTATTCTTATCTAGACGTGTAAAAAAGAAAATTACAAATATACTTAATTATATATACAAACATATGTACACTTAGTTATTACTGTACAAGTCATGTCCGCGTAGAATAGTGGCAAGAATGCTAGCCGCATTCCCCCGTTGAATGGCAATGCCGATTTTTTGGGCGAAAAATGCGCCAGCCCTCCTGTCACCAGTAGAGGTGATAAGACGGGGTGTTATTTCTTTTAAAAAGAGCTTAGCACTTTGACTCCATGGGCCAAGGGTTTCTACAGCAAATGGAATAAAAACATAATTTTGACTAAGGGAGGAGTATTTACGAAACTTAAGTAGTTCAGCCTTCTCCGCCGCAGCTCCCACTTTAGACGCAGTCTCCCTGACATGGGACGGGGCCAATGTGTAAACGCATGTAGCGTCCCACAATAGGGCCCGTCCCCTTTCCCAAGGGACCAGCGACATGCCATCAGGTCTCTTACCATCATCTCGACTTATTCCAGATGGCTCAATAAGAGCAGGAATGTCAATGTTGGCAAGAGCCCTTTTGATGGTATCGTTTAGGGAACCATGACGGAAAAGTCTCCCAGAACTTCTTTTGCAAGAGAGTCCATGGAGTCCATAACAGTCAAAAATAAATGATAATATATAACATAATAATTTAACATTATAATTCAATAATATATAACTGAAAAATATATAACTATTTCAAAGGTTCTTATTAATAATACTAGCGACTAACCCTCGCTCCGCCTGGGTTTGTCCCTACGTTTTAAGGTTAGTATAGATTTCTCAGAGATGAGATATTTTCCCGCAGTAAAAATTATCCTATGTTAACCCGGATAACCAGCTATCATTATAATAACACCAAAATCTATCCACTGGTGTTCTCGTGATGCGTTCCCAGACTGACAGACAGACAAAAATTCTAATAACTATAGATTCGACCTCTGTATCGATAATAATGACTATCTCAATAAGATTTTCCAAAAAATATTTAATGTACAGATCAGTTACAACTTTATTCTAAGTATTGATTACCGTTTTATACTTTCGGATCTAGAAACTGTGAATAGTTCAAATATGAACTTTAAGTTTTTTATTTAAGTCTTATTTAACTTGCTATTTTATTTGGTACCAAATAACCTCCACCCCTCCCTCTCCACTGGACACGCATTTTCTTTTGCTAATGCTGGACTATTGAGAAGGTGCAATAAAAATACTTTTATTTTTGTTCAATTTAAGATATTTTTTTTTCTTACAGATGTTGTTATGTTGTAAATAGTGTATTCCCAAAAGTTTTTCAGTAAATTAAAAATGACCCTGTATATTGAGTAGCTTTAATATTATACTAAACCTATCCATAAATTGTAACTGCGGTAATTATTCAATGTGGTTCCATGCTGTTCTGATAATGGATCCCAAAGGGGATATTAAAAAAAAATTTGGTAGCTCATTCAATACTTTGTTAAGCTTGTTTTTTTAAAGTACTTCGTACATTTATTGTGAGAGAAAGTCCTATATGAATTTGATTACGTATTTAATGGCGGTGTGATTGATGACTTAGAACACGATAAAACATTCAAGAATCATTAAAAGATTTTTAAAGTTATACTTCTTTTGGCACGTTTGGAAAAA